ACGCTGTTTAATTCTATTATTCTATTGTATACAAAGTCTTTAGGAGAGTTAACTACTAGCTCATTTAAAATTTATTGATGCCTCAAAAATTAAAAATTGCTGCTAAGCAGCTTGTAGAATCTTAAATTCATTTTACTTAAAGCTAAAGTAAACTTATAAAAGCTGAATTTTTTTTTTTTCAATTTAATAACCGCGAGCTTTTTGCACGTTATTTAAATTAAGTTCATAACTCAAAAATTAAATTATTTCACAACTTTAATCGGAAATCAAAAGGCACAAGAAACTATAATTTAAAAAATTGATAACTAAGCTTTTATGCTTTTACAGTAGAATAAACCATAAAAGTAAACTTCCTTTTTAGTTTATTGGTTTAAATCATTTAGAAAATTTTCCAAGTTATATTTCATTCTAATTTGTTCTTTTTTTTATTGTATAGAAATAAACAGTTGCTTTTACGTACGGATTGTATGTCTTTACTTGAGTTGCACTTTTTTTATAATTAATTAGTTTTAGTAGAAGGAAGTTAATAAAGGATAAATAACTTTTAGTGACATTATGTTTAGCTAAATTATTGAAGGTATTATAGAAATTACTTTTCTCTAAATCTAAAAAATTTTAAATTTAAATGGAATTTTCTCTAAAGGGATCATGAATTATAAACTTACACCTACCATTTTTTACCAAGCGAAATTTAAAATATACTTTTCTCTTTGTTTTTAATAAAAGTAAAAAAGTCTTATAAAGCTGATATTACCCTCTTTGTCGAACTAAAAAACTTTAATTTATTATTTTTACAAAATTAACAAGTAAAGTAGAAAATTGCACAACAATGCAAATTTAATTTTAACAATATTTATTATGATCGAAAATTTATTTGAAGGGAAAAGTATACCTCACCAGTCTAGCTTTGGGTCTTCCCCTAAACAAACCGCGTGGAGGGATTTTCCTTTTTCATGGCACAAACCGTTTTCGTTCAAGTCAAAATACCAGTCGTGTTTCGAACACCGCAAAACGTTATTCACAATTTCTTTCTAGAAAAAAACAATTAGTGCCTTTAATAATTGTAAAAAATTGTTTGTAGAAATCTAAATTTCTTTAATTATTTTAATCCTCTACAAATTGAAGCTAATAATATTAATTCTTGAAGACGTGTCTAAAAAATCCGATTTTGACAACAAATTTATATATTCGATTAAATGATAAATTAAAAATGAATATTAAAAATAAATTTTGTTCCGGAATTTCAGTTCTTAACATCTTTTATATTAATTGTAACTGCTATTAATAATCATGCTCAACAATTCCTTTTTTAAATAGAAAATTCAACTTCTGTATTAATTTGGTTTCAACTAATTCAAAACTTATCAATCGTGTCCAACACATCAGAATTGAAATTAAAAAAATTCTTAATTTTTTTTAGAAACAATTGCAATAAATTTCATTTTTTTAATTATGTCAAACAATTTCTATCTAAAAAAAAATTTCAAAGTACTCCATAAATCGCCAAATCAACAAGTTTATGAGGACAATAACGATCAATTTCATAATAGTTATTGTTATCACTGCGAATCACGAGTCTTTCTGGCGGGCATTTCTGATTCACTAAATTTTTTTTGTAATAAAAAATTATATATATCTTAGATTTTTTTATTTTAAAATTTATATAAATTGTTGATTTCGTTTTTTAACTTTTTAATAAATTAATTTGTTATTAAAATTAAAAAATATAATTTTAATTTTTAATATACGTAAAAAAAAAGATAAGTTCAAAATTTAAAAAAAAATTAAATTTAAATTTAATTTTTTTTTTAACTCTGTATAACTTGTTGACTATTTAAAATATTATTCAGTTAGTACAGAATTTATAAAAAAATACTATTTTATAGTAATTCAAAGGAAAATAAGTTAAATTTATAAATTACTTTAAAGTTGGTATTATGAAACTTTTAAAGAACTTAAAAAGTTGACTTTTAATTATTTTAACAGAAATTTATTCAAAAATTAAGATTAATTTTATAATTGAGTTAAAATTTAATGAAATTATCTTAAAACGATCTTAAGAAGGAAAATAATTTACAACTTCCAAAAATATATTTAAAAAAATTATAAAATTAATAAAGTTTAAAAATTTCTGAATTTATTAATAATTTATATTTTATTGTTTTCAATTTACTATTAATTTAAATAAAATATACTTTATTATTTAATAATTTTAAATTGCTTTTATTTAGATTTTAATTTATAAAATATTAATAATTTTAATTTTATTTTATTTTTTTTTCGATTTATTATTTCTTAATATGTTTTTATATATAATTTTTTAATAATGTATAATTTATTTCTATTTTTTTAAAATTTCCAATTATTTATTATTTATTATTTTATATTATTAATACTTCGGGTATTATATGTTATTTATTATTATTTTATTAATTAAATTTTTTTTAATTTAGTATTATTTATTATATTTTAAAACTTTTATCATATTTACATTTTATTATTATTTATTATATTAATTATAATTTATTTTTTAAGATAAATTTAGTGTTATTTATTATATTTTTAATTTTATCATTATTGTTTTATTTAATAACTTCTATCATTTTTTACAACTAAATATTAATTTATTAATTTATATATTTTTTAAATAAATTTCGTATTATTTAGTATTATTTTATTAATTATAACTTGTATCATTTTTTTACAACTTATTATTTTTTATAATCTAAAATTTGTTAATTTTTTTTTGACAACTCATTATTATTTATTCTTTGTTATTTATTAATAATATTTACTATATATTTACCTCTTGTAACTATTTTTGTTATTATTATTATATTATTAATAGTATTTAAAAAGTAAATGAAAAAAGAAAAATTTGATCATATTTTTTAATAAAAAAATAAAAAATAAAAATATTTTTAAAATATTATTTATAACTTTATAAATTTAATAAACGATTTACTTTTGCTTAATAATAAATTTTTTTCCTTTTTTTCTAATTTACTTGCAGTTTCTGTTTCATTGCTCTGTAAATTTCCAGAAACCAAAAGTTTAGTAAACTTTTCGAGCTCTTTTTCATAAGCAAGATGTTGTAGAGCTGAAAAAAAAATAAAAAAAGTAAACATATTGTATATAAAATTACAATAATATTTAATAAAAAAAATTACAATAATAATAAGTAAATAATAACTTTAAAATTTTATTAATTTCTTTTCCTCTGAAAAAATATTTTTATTTTTTGTCGGTAATAATAATTTTTATTTTTCAAAAAAAATATTAATTTTTTAAAGGTTTGATATTCAAATAAATAAAAAAGAAGAACATCTTTACTAATAATATGAAGTAAAAACTATTATTATGATGGTAATAGTAATAATAAAAAAGGTAAATTAAAGTTTTTTTTATAATATAAAGAAAACGACTTTGTAAATAATAACAATAACAATAGTTATAAGAAATAATTATGAAATTTTTTTTTTTTAATAAAACAATATTTATCAATTAAATTAACTGACCAGAAATATATTCGGGCAGTCATAAATAAATGGGAGCATATAATTCCCCAGTTCTTTATTAAATTAGAAGTTATAATATTACATATTTAGTGCGTAATAGTTGTTATTTATTTATAAAGTTTATAGGATAAACTGTATAAAACTCATTAGTACTATACAAAAAAATAAAACATATTAAAATATAGAAAAGATATCATTATATTATATTAAAAAAACTTTTTTATTACATTAAGAAGCTCAAAAAAATAAGTTATTGAACAAAAGAATTACCAACTAAATAATAATAACTTCAATGCTGCTTTAATTTTTATTTCCGTAAATTAGCAATATTATTTTTATTTGCTCCAACTTATTAAGGAGAACCAATAAAAAATATTCGTAAATATTAATCAGCTTGTTATTTGAAATTATTTTCAACAAAAAAGAAACTAAAACAATTAGTGCATCCCTATGAACGTATTTTGGTTCAAAATAACCTAAAACTATTTCCAACTTGCTTTAAATAAATCAAAATAATAACAATAAAAAGTAACAAATTATAAATAATGTCTACATTTCATATTAATATTTAAAAGTAAAAAGAAACATGTTTCATTATTTCTAGGCAAGTTACGTCACTAAACCAATTTATACAGTTTTGGATACCGAGAACGCGGCGCTCACCAATAGAGAACTTCAGCATGTCTTTTACGAGCGGCAGCAATTCAATAATGCTCCACGACTCTTCGCTATAATAATAATGAAAAATTAAAAATAATAAAACTTCTATAGATTTATAATATAATAAAAATATAACAATATCAGTAAAAGTGGTAATAAACTGTGATTAATAGTAATAAGGTTACAAGAGTGTCTTTATAGTATAAAATAATAAAAATAAAGTGTTTATAAATATAACAAAAAAAAAATTATTTGTTAAAAATTGTCATAAAGTTATTACAATTAAAAAAAATATTATAATATTATAATATAAAGCACTATTGGAAAAAAAATATCTATTTAAAAAAATTCTGCGAGAGAAAAATTAATAATAATAATAAAAAGGAAACTTCATAATTAAAAAAATTTTTAAAAACTTTAAATAAAAATAAAATAATAAAGTGAATTCGAAAAATATTTATTCCTACACTTAAACAGATTAAAAGTAAATCTTTTTAGCTAAATTAGAAATCTTTTACAGATCAAATAATAATAATAATATTAATAGTAATATTAAATTTAATATAATATTAATATTAATTATGAAAAATTACCTTAAAAAGCGCAAGTCCTTAACTTTATAAAGCCGATTGTGATTAAGAGAACGCAAATCGGCCTCGATTTGCTCATCGTTCCAGTTATTCTTACAAAATTATAGCATATTTTAAAATATTATAAACGAATTACAAAAAAATTAATAAAAATTTTTAAATTTTTAAGAAATTGAAGTTGTTTCTTTAGTAAAAAAAATAAAAATTTTAAAATTAAATTTTTTAAAGAAAAAAGATTTTATTAAGTTTTTGTTGAAAAAGGAAAATTTAATATTTATTTTAATTCATTATTATTAAAAAAAGTGGTAATAATTTCATAATTAATTAATTTTAAAGATCTTTTTTTTAAATTTAATAAATATAAATTATTATAAAATTATGTAATTTATTAAATTTATTATTTATAAAAAAATTAAATTGATTAATAAAAGTTTTAATAAACGAAATAAAAGTTTCTACGGGATTAAAAAATTTGTAAGTTTGAAAATTAAGTTGTAAGTTAAATTCTTCTATATGCAAATTAAATTTACTAAATTTTACTAAAATATTGAAGGTTTGATAATAACGTACTATTTTTATTGTTAAAATAATTTACTTTAATTTAATGAAACTATTAAAAATTAAATTTTAAAAGATTTAATCTTAAAGAAATGCATTTAATAAATAATTAATTTAAAATATAATGAAGTTTTTGAACTTTTATTAAATAAATTAGAAATAAATTTTAAAGATTCAACTTATAGAAATTCGTCAAATAAATTAATTAAATTAATTAAATATATAGTTTATAAAATTTTATATAAAACTTAGAATTAAATTATAAATAATCTAAACTTTTTAAATTTTTAAAGTGTTTTATAATAATTTAAAACTGAAGGAAATCGTATATTAAATTATTTAATTAATTATTAACTAATTTTTTAAACTTTATTAAGAAAATAATAAAAAATTTTTTAAAAGATATAAACTTTTTAGATTTTTAGGGCGTTTTATAATAAAATATGGTTTAAGAAAACCGTATAAGTGAATAAATTAAAATTAAGATTCAAGTTTTTAAAATGTTATCAAAAAAGTTAGAATTAAATTTAGAGGATTTAAATCTTAATTTTTAGAGCGTTTTACAAAAAGTAAGGTTAAAGAAAATCGTATAATTAATTTTTTAAAATTTTATTATAAAGTTAGTATTAAATTTTAATAAAATGAAGAATTTCTAAATAAAAATTATACAAGTATAATTTTAATAGATTAAAATTTTAATTATTTTCAATAAGTAACAATAATAAAATTTTCTATACATTTGAAAAAAAGTAAATTAATAACTGTGATAACCTTACAAAAAGTGGCAATTGCTAATTAAATTTTTATCATTTATATACAAAATATTTATAATTCGATTTTTTCTCAGATTTTTTTTTTGATTATTTAAAAATTTAAGTCAATTTCTTTTTTTGAAGTCTTTATATAAAAAAACTGAAATTAATTGTATAAATATAAAAACAGTGAAAAGTAAATCAACTAGGAATTATTTCATAAAACTTCCAAAAATATAACTAACTTTTCAAAAATTATTAATAAAAACTTTTCTAAAAATATCAAAAGTAAATTTTACTTTTAATAATTTACTTAATAATTATTTAGAAATAAAACATTATAAAAATTCACAAAAACAGAGAAAATAATAATTTTTTGGTAGATATTTATAAAAATACATAAAGTAAAAAGTTAATAAAAATAGAAAAAACTTTAAATTGAATTTTAAATTTTAATATTTATTTAAAAAGTAATCAAAATTTCTTAATCAAAAAAATTATAAATTTAAAAATTAATGAAATTACTTTTCTAGCGAGTTCGTTTAGTAACAAGCTCACATCCATTTCATCTTCTAATTTATAAGGAAGTAATAATTGAGCTTCAACAAAACTTTTTTTTAATTTCTATTAATTTTACAAAAAAATACGTTCTTACATTTATTTTATTAAGTATAAAAATTACTTTTATTTTTTTTAAAAGATTTTGAAATTCTTCAAGATTTTTCGTATCTAAAGCGGCAGACGTGGAAGCGGCCTTTAAAAAATTAAAAAGAATTTATAATTTTTTTTTTATAATTTAAATACTTTTATAAATATAAATAAAATCTATTAAAATATATTTTTAAATTTAGTTAAAAAAAGTCGAAATTCTATTTGTTATATAAAATGGATTTATAAATCTTTTATTGTATAAAAGATTAAAGTGCTTGTTTCGAAATATTTATTACTAAATATGAAATTAATGGCAACACTACTTGTTATTGTAAACTTTACCACAGAAAAATTTAAAAAGAAAATTTTATAAAATATTGGAAATCATTAAATTTAAGTTCATAAACTAAAAATTAAATTAAAAAATTACCAATTCAATAAATCAATTACACTAGATATAAAAAATATAAAAAATAAAAGTTAATCTAATACTGAAAAAGTAAAAATTCCGTTAAAGAAATTGATGAATAATATATAGTAAGTACACCACTAATAACTAAATAAATAAAAAAGTAATATCCTTATATATCAATAACACCCTTAAAAAAATATATATATAAATAAAATTAAATTAAAACTGAAAAAGTGATTTTTGCTAAAGTACCGGCGAAGGATTAGAGGGCCCGCTGACAGGAGGAATACTTCTATTTTCTTTATTAGTATATATAAGATTATAAAGAAAGCTTAAAAACAGAATTTGATCGTTTAAAAAATTTGCACTTATTTTAAACTTGTTCCACTGTAATTAGAAAATAAAAATTATCTACTATTTTTCATTTTTTCAAAAATGTAATAGATTTAAATCTTTATAAAAATTTAATCTAAAAAAAAGTGAAATAATCATATCAAAAGTGTCAAACTATTTTAATTATAAATGCTAAATTAATAGAAAAATTATTATAGCTAATAAAGTTTACAAAATATATTTTAAATATCTAAAAAACATTTAACTTTTATAAATTTTATATTATATATATAACAAAACTTATAGAAAGGCCTAGAGAGTAGAAATGACTCTAAAAAGTTAATATAAACTTTATAAAAAAAAAAGTTAAGAAATTTTGAAGAAATAAACTGTAAAAAAATTAAACTTTTTATTTTTAAGGAAAATAAAAAAAAATAACTTCGAAAACTCTATTATAAAAACGCAAATAAATTAAAAAAAACTTTTTACCCGCTTGGTTTGGACCCATAGCCAGATAGAGCTGAAGGAGATCACTTGAACTTCTTAGATTCTTTTTCTTTTTCTTCTTTTTTAATTGACTTTTATATTTTATATCTAAAATTAAGAAAAGATCATTGAATAGCAAAGGTTAAAAAAAACTTTTTACCTCCTCGACGATCTTCGTCGGATGAGCTGGTCATAGTAATATTAAACTAAAATTTATACACCAAATTCGTCTCTCCTCACTTTTTTTAGCTGATAATAAAACTTAGATAAGTGCTCTTCTAAGTATATATAACTACTATTTTATAAAAAGAAACTTAATTTTTAAATCAAGAGCTCTTACAGATAAGAATATCGTAAATGATGAATATATTAACCACTGATTAACTTTCTACTAATCGAAAGGAAAAATTTACTAATGCATTAAAATACAGTAGTTCGTAAAAGTGATAATATGATAACTGTTTAGAGATTATTGGTGAATTTATCTTGTAATTTTCACTTTATACTTTTTTTTTTTAAGTTGTTAAGTTTGAGGTGGACCTTTCAATTTTACCCTGCATTAATACGATCAACTCTAGTAAGATGTGTAAAAAGTGAGTATACTTCCCCATCCTTTCGTTTATTAATAAAAGATTAAAAGCAAAACACTTTTTCGAAGTCTCAGTAATATAAAATTAATATTTTATTGAGAATTTTGTTTGCGTTAGTTCTATAATAAAGGCACAGTGCGTTTAGTTTAAAGCTTTATATTTTATAGAAATTGATACACAAGTTTTATATTAGTATTTATAACAAATGTATCTATTTACGGACTTATATCTTTCGGGATATTTGTTAAACACGACGTATTGTGACAATCAAGAGTACAAGACAAAGGTCGCAAGTGAGGTTTTTTTGAAGCAAGCAAGAAGTTTATTTATAATTAAATCTACTTCAGTCTTGAATCTATCTTCCATATTTTACGTAAGGGCACCGTGGTTCCGGCTCATTCACTCCATAACAGAAACGTTTTAGATGCTTCTTAATCCAAGCCCTATGAAATATACATTGGTTATAGAAAAGAAAATTGTCAATACGATAAAAATATGAATAAACATTTTATTAAGAGCTAAAATAGCATTAAAAAAAAATGATTCATTATATTGATTAACAAGTGCTTGGAGAGTGGCACGACATTTTTAAAATTTTAGCTCACCGCCTAGCCGGTTGATTGCGATAGATATTTAAATAACTTGGATCAAAAGTATGTAATTTTATAGACATTCACCCTTTATTTCTACTTATTTATTTATTATGTTCAGAGTTATAGTAGCTGCCACTACTCAGCCAACGGACGCTATTAATTTTTTTTTTTAAAGTTATATATATTTTTAAAATTTGGAATGCTAAAAATTTTTGTTTACGGATTTAAATTATCTCTAAACACATTTAGCAGTATTAAGGCTAACGCTCACTTATAATTACGTCCATACATTTTTTTTCTGTCGTACGTTTGCATTTTAGTTATATATATAACCAAGCATGCTTACTTAAATATTAAATTGTTTAAATTGTTGTTTGAAAACAAACTTTGACATAACAAGTTTTTAGATGTCTATAGTCCACTATGTTAATAAACTTTAACTTCGTGAATTTAATATATAGAGAGGCTGGGTTTCTTTCTGTATTTGTAACTATTTACAGCTTTTTTAATTTTAACGTCCTATTCCTTTTTTACCGGTTTATTCGTTTTTGAATCCAGTTTTATACTCTAATACCTAATTTACTTTTATTACTAATTAGCTTCTATAATTTTAATATTCAGCTTTAATTTTCGTTAAAAACTATTTTTTCTTTAAAAAAAACTTAGCTTGCAGATTAGCCCTCTTTTTTTAAAAA